AGCATTTTTTCATTAAACCATAATAATTCAAAGGTAGAGGGATAGTTTTTATAATGSTGAAGAAGTTTACTTTGTAAACTCTGAAATCCCCCTCGCTTTCAACAGCAAAGTCTGATAAACTCGACGGTTCTTTTAAACGGAAGATGATTAGGGCCACAGAGAAAAAAAAGGCTTCCTGAATTCTGACTTTTTTTTTCTCAGAAATCTAAAAYTAAAATCAGAACTCAGGAAAAACTAATATTTACTTTTGACCCTAATCATCTTCCGTACCTTTAAGACTGTGTTTTATAAAGTAGAAGGATTTTTTTTGTTGTTCTTAATATAAAACTGTCATCTTTACTCCTCTACCCAAACACAYGCCACACCAAAACTGTTTAAATTTAAAAATACTTTGAGATATTTTTAATACTTCAAGATAAAAGTAGAAGGATCAGATCTGGTCTCATTTTTAAAGAGGGAGCCCATCTGTTAAATCTTGAACAACAAAAAGAAATTGTACAAGAATTTATCTAAATAATCTGTGAAAACATTTAGAGACGGTCTTGTTTCAGCTGAAGCASTGAGTCTTCACCTCTCTGCCGTACGTACCTGAAGCACCAGGGGTTCTCCAGGTGTGCTGCTGTGGCAGTGGACGACAGACGCCAACGTGCTGGTGAGGTTGTAGCTGCTGTGAAGGATCTCCCGACCGCCATCGTCACTCGCTTTGGAAAGGATCAGGGTGCAGGTGAGCGAAGAGTTCAGCAAACAAACACCAGAATCTGACCGTGGATCTTTACCTAGCTGTGCCAGCAGGGAGACGATGGAGCTCGTCAGGACCGGGCTGGTGTTTGGGTTTCCTGCCAGCTCCACCAGCCCACTCACACACTCGCTGGGAAGAACCTGACCTGAGGACAGCAGGTGGTCGCACTTCAGGCCTGAAACCTCCTAAAAACACACAACATATATGTAAGCTGCACATCTGTAGGATGTCTAATAATGTCTAATAAWCAGTGTTGTATAAAGTACCACAAAGTGATACTTGTGTTAAAGTACAAGTATCTTACTAGAAAACTACTTTGGTAAAAGTTAAAATCTCCTTTAGGAATATTACTTGAGTAAAAGTCTTAAAGTATCTGATATTTGTTGTAGTTAAGTATTAAAAGT